CAGCAGACCAGGGGGACAGGAGCAAAGCCGCCCAGGCGGCGGGGGTCCCGCTGCCTGGGCGGCTTTGCTCCCGGGCAAACGAGCAAAGCCGCCCAGGCGGCGGCTTTGCTCGGGTGTCCCTGGTCTGCTGGGGGGGTCCAGCGGCTTTGCTGGACCCCCCCAGTAGACCAGGGAGACCGGGAGAAGCTTTTTTCGCCCCGGAGGACACGGGCGGCGACCCGCCGCCCGTGAGCTCTGGGGCAAGAAAAGCCCCGTTCATAAGTGCAGATCCGACATAAGTCGGATCCGCGTAAGTCGGGGACTGCCTGTATTTCAGATCAGTGGCCTTTCCCCCCACATGAACAGTTTTTTGCTCCTACTTTTTTAAAATGCCTGAGTAAATATAGTCATTCATTCAAAAATGAGACTGATGTCATGAGAAGCAATCATAGTACAAATTCTGATAAAATAATATAACACTGCATTTCTTTTGAGGATCTTAAACTGCTAACTTGGATGAGTAATACAGCCCCTCTTTGAAGTAGAAAGGGAGTCATTTTCTAGAACCACTGATTAGTTGAAGTATACACGGCAATCCATGCAAATTCAGGAACAGAGACAAAATGTGATTCTCAGTTGTCCTCCCTCCTCCCTCCCTTCCCCCCAATTCTAAACACTAGATTTTGCTGCCATGGCAATTGCTGAGTTTAGAAACTGAGTTTTAAGAAAAAAACTTTCACAAAAGCATGCATCCAAAATTCAAATATCCTTCAAGTATCAGTAGCTTTCTGAACCAGATATACACAATTCATAATTGCATTCTTGAGGACTAGATGCCTGTTTTAATTTCATAATCCACCAATAACAACAATGCTTGATCTTCTTTTGCGTTATTTGTCCAAAGGAATTAAGTATTTTTGACTCTGTGTGAGGCTCAGAGTAAGAACAAATAAATCTGAGAAACATTTTACCTTAACAGAAAAGCCACTACTATTCAGAATGGTATAACAATTTAGGCCTGCCAAAAGCCTGATTAACCCAATGATAACTTCATTCTTCAAAACTAGGCAACAAATCCCATAAAAGTATTGAAGATTAAGGATCATAATTTCCCAACCTACTGGCTAGACCTCACCACAGTTTCACTGATTTAATATCTGCCAGTCTTCAAGCCAAGTTTAGTGACTGTACAGTCAGAAGTGAACAGGAGTTGGCTATATCCTTCCTATTTAAATCAGTACCTCTGTTGCGTCCATGAAAAATTATCTTATTCGATCTTGCTTTCTGCATGGTTTCAGGGAAAAGAAAAGTAATAAAAGCAGTGTGGAGGATTTCATTCAGATGTTAATGCATTTTCATTTGTTTTAATTCTTTAATTAAAAATGTATATATTGCTTGTTTATTTAACAGGGCAAGTTTTTTGTACTTTAATGATGTGTGAGAATAATACTGCAACTTGATCTCCCCCGTTTAACATTAACACAATATTAATTTCAAAAACAGAATACAATTATTATGCTGTGTGGGAGTCTGTCCTATTAAGAATTTTAATCTCTTCTACTGGAAGATAAGACTGGCAGATGGGTTAAGAAAAAACAGGGAAAAAAGGAGCAGAAATAATTATGATTGCTCATTAGTTCACACTAGACCAGAGAAGTCTTTCATATTTTTAAAATCCAAATATCAAATCGTATCTGCTGTACAAAAGTGAAAAATCACTAATTTCTGCTACATCCACAGTTTAACTCCAGCAGAGCAATGCCTGCTTTTATCACTGTTGAGTTTAGCTGCTGGTGGTGGTGGTGGTGGTGGTGGAGGAGGAGTTGCACTATATGTAAGAACTCCAGTATACAGAGGGAGAAAAACCTGTTGAGAGTCTATGGGTTAAGTTTAGAGGTGCAAACAACAGCAGTGATGTTGTGGTTGGTGTCTACTACAGGCCACCGAATCAGGTAGATGAGGCTTTCTTTGGACAACTGAGAGAAGCTTCCAGATTGCAGGCCCTGGTTCTCGTGGGGGACTTTAATC